GGTAAGTCTCACTTACATCGATAGTCCAAACCTCAATCTTGCGTAGTACTCCGTCAATTTCGTCCAGCTCATACGTTGCTATCCGCTCGGAAACATTGTCGGTAGCAGGGAACAGCAGGATCACACGCGAACACCGAAACTCCCTGGCATACGCATACATCTGGTACATGTCCGCCTGAGATACGCCGTCGTGGGACTTGGAACGGTCAAGCAGCTTCCACTTCGTATCGACCAGGCAGATCAGCTTTCTATTCTCGTAAATTCCAATGTCTGGAATCAACCGGAATTTGCCCTTACCATTCCTACTTAGCAAATGCTTCCCACCGACCTGAGCCGATGCGTGGCGATCTCCCAAGACCATCGCGCGTTTCATCACCTGGGCAATATATCGCTCGAAGACGACGTTCATGTCGAACATCAAGCTGAACGTCGATGTCGTAGCAGTTCGGTCCGGCGACTCACCCAGGATGCGGATCTTGCCAAGAGTTAGGACGGATGAAATCCTCGGGCCCTGGCCCGCGGAATAGGCGTGTGCCGCTACGAACTGGCAACCGCCTGGGCGTCTTCGTAGGCGGCCACAAAGCGGTGAGCCTGATCGGTGAGCCATGCCCAGTTCTGGTCTGCGATCTGCTGCTTGTCGAAGAGAGGTCCGCCAATTCCAAAACCACTGGCCCCGGCCGCAAGATACTCGGCCAGGTTCTCGACGGTCACGCCGCCGGTGGGCATCAAGCGAACTTGCGCGAGGGGACCGCGTACGCTTTTCAAGTAGCCTGGGCCCAAGGCATCGGCCGGGAACAATTTGACCAAAGACGCCCCGCAGTCCCATGCCCGCAAAATCTCGGTTGGCGTCATCGCCCCGACAAACGCCGGGACATCCGCTTGCACGGCTACTTGAATCACGTCCTCGGCAACGATCGGCGTGACCAGGAACGACGCACCACGTTCAATCGCGGCCTTTGCATCGGATGCCTTGCATACGGTTCCCGCACCTACATTGATCTTCCCTGCGAATTCGGTCTGCAGCGATTGAATCTGACGCAACGCATCCGGCGAATTCAGTGTCACTTCGACCGTGTTCATGCCGCCCGCGACAATCGCTTCGACGGCCTGCCGAGTCTGCGGCCAATCAAACCCGCGTAAGATCCCCACGAGGGGGCGTGCTTCAAACAGTTGCCATTGGAAAGGCGTACTCACAACACTGCCTCGTCCGCTTAAAGAAGATTTGATTTCGATGTCGCAGCAATCGAAGGACGCATCGGGCGATGCATGGTCTGAGTGTGCTCTTCGGATCGTTGCCGACACAAGTTCAACGCTTGCCACTGTCCGGCGGCCGAGAGCCGTTCGACTTCTTCGACCGAGATTTCGGTCGTTCGATGGGCCATGCCTGCCAGTTCAAGGGCCATGCGATACGGCACGCTCAACTTTTGACCAGCACATAGCACAATATGGGCATCGCTCGCACTCTGTGTCTTAAGCGACCAGATCTCGCTGCCGATCAGTTGTCCGCTCAACAGTGCCTGGCTGGTTGCCCTGGCTAACCCATTTCGCAATTGCCCAACCCGGACTTGAAACAGGGATCGGGTCAGCCCATCCTTCTCAGCCAGTCGAACCCCTTCGCAGAATGCGTCGACCAATTGCCGGTTGCTCCAGTCGCAGCACGAGTTCTCCGGTGGATCAGGATGCCGCAACGAACTTTGCTCGCTGAGCAGTTGAAACAATTCGCCGGTCATGTAGGTGTGGAAA